CTCTGTGAGGAAATCATTGATAAACGTGCAAAAATTTCAATAACACGGTCACGAAAAACGGATAAACGGGTAAAATAGCTGAAAAGAACTATAAAAAGCCACTCAGATACAACTTTTGTGAACCGCCAAAGGGTTCAACACTTTGTATAGTAAGCACTAAAATGTTTGGTGCTAAAGTGTGAAATATCTATAGATATTTCTCTAGTTTTTAACCACAAATTATTTAATACCCAGAGCAATTTAAAGTTCAAACCAAGCGCGAACGTACCGATGATGACCGTTCAGTTTACGATGTCTTTTGTACCCGTTTGAAAATTACGTTCTTACCCTCTCTGTACATTTAATCTTTGTTTGGACCGTCATTTTTTACATTGTTGTACATTTGATCATGCGTACTAGCATGCCTCACGGGCTTTGTGAAGTATATCGTTATTATTAATATTACCCAAAGTAGAGCCATCTTTCAATGGGTGACTCACGATGTGCTATAGGTTCATTCGTCAATTTCAAATATGCGTTGCCTCCAAGACCAATGACGATGGGTAACGCTTGTAATATTTGCTTCACAACTGTAAAGGGAAAGCAAGTATTGCACCATGTTGCCATTCACGGTTGGGTACGATAGGGCATGCACAATTCGCAAATATCTATTTGGGAGCTCACACGAGGCAGTGTGCTCACTGTTAGATGGATTGTTGGAGGGTCTCAACATGATTAACGCGGATGCTGATGTGTTGTCTTGCCTAGTTATTCGAATGGAAAGCTGCATGATCGTCCTGGAACAAAAGGGTTACACTGCTGATCCTATTTCGTTTAACACGTTGGAACAAACAGTTAAACAGTTACCGCATTCTCTGTAACGTAAGTGGGCGGAGATTGTGGATCGGATTGCTCAAAATGACAGGGAGCCAAATTTTAGCGAACGGATGGAATTTATATATGTAATGGCTAGAGTGGCAAGGAGTCGTTTTGGGCAAATGGCTAACCTAAGCAGAAGCAATAGATCCGTCCATTCTATGCAACCTCTGAATAGGCGTCAATTCCCATCAAACTATAGTATAAATGTCGTCAAGAATAATAACGATCCACGAACACAACGATGTGCGATTTGTGCAGAAAACCATCCGATTTCATCTTGTTCGAGATTTTTGAAGTTAAATACCCAGACAAGACGGGGCAAGGCACGAGGATACGGTTTGTGCTCAATATATTTAAAAGGAAGCCATTGAGTGATTAACTGCAATAATAACACCAATTTTGGCGTAGGTGGTTGCGGAGGTAGACAGCACAAGTTACTTCACGTCGTCCCGAGCACACATCATGAACCAATCGGTTAGGGTTACTGCGGAGCAATTAGACTTCGGACCGAGAGTATGAGCCTGGGATTATTACCAGTCAATTAAAAAGGATCGTCGGGAATGCTTTACTGGATAATGGATGGGATACGACGCTTATTAAGGCGAGTGCATTACTCTAATTGGGGCTAAACCAACAAAGAAACCATTCAAAAATAACTACATTCAGTGAACCAAAAGAGGCAAACTTTCTCAGCGGTGCGTTTCAGGTATGGTCTCCAAGTGAAACGGAATCAGTATGTGTGGAGCAAGGTATTGATACAACAAAATTACCCGTTCCTAAGCCGGTTAGAGACATCTCTGAAAGAATGAAAAAGATGGTCCCATTTGGCAGACTTCGGATGGAAAACATTGATGAAGAAGTTTTGCTATTGATAGGGTGCGACATACCAGAGGCTCATTAGGTACTCGAACAAAAGCTCGGCCGTCGAAAGAATCCTTATGCAGTTCGGACGCTTTTAGGTTGGGTGATTTTTGAACCTTTAAGTTTCGCTTCGTATGAAATGAAGTCGGTCAACTGCTTGGTTGTAAGTGAATCAAATTGAATGCACCAGGTAATGCAAATGTATAATGCAGAATTTGCAGACACCCAGTTATTAGATCAAGGCATTTCCATGGAGGCCATGAATATTTTGGAGTCC